CTGTGTATCTATAATCCATTTATTCACTTTTTGAGCATAGACCTGAATATTACATTTTCAACGTAAACTGTGGTAAATCTGGAATGCACAGACTCAAGTTTGGTCTCTCTTCGAAGACGACACTTGGCAGATTATTGCTGAAGTGGAAAAAAAGTTAAAAAAAGTAACAGATTTTTACGTTTATTGTTATGAAAAATGCACAAAAATACTTTCCATTTTTTATATGAAAGATATATTTTCAAAATCACGTTTTACTCTAAAACTGCGAGGAAATCAAAACCTAGTTGAACCAACCATAAATCTAGTTGAGTAGCTTAAAACTAGAAAAAATGTCAGTGTAAGTAAGAAAAATAACTTAATTTAAAAGAAAATATATTATTTTTCCTTTTCTTCTTATTGAAAATAAATATTACTTTTATTATTTTTTAATATTGTTGTACTTTTTTTTATTACCAATATTTTTTATTACCAATATTTTTTGTTATTTTTTGCACTTCATTTTTATTTTTATTAAAAAGTAATTTTCTTACCCAATTTCCTTCTCAAATAAGTACTTTTTGATTTAACAATTATAATAAAATCATACTGAAAACAAGACATACTAAGTCAGGGAAATTTTTAAAAAAAATCAGTATGCAGTGCTAATTTTTTACAATCCAGTCAACAACCAATGGATAAAAAGTTTCAAAACCGTTTCGCTCAGAAAAAAGTTGCGATACTGTAGTAAAGTCTCGTGCCAACTTTAGCAAATATTGCATCTTGATTTTGCACCTCATTGCAGTGCATTCTGGGATTGCCTTCTCCACAAAGGATACATATATACATGTGGCGTAATAATTTGTCCGAGAGAGCAGAACAGGGAGGGTGGCGATGCTCCCTATGAAGGCGGCGTCCCACTAGTCTTCAGAACAGAGCAGAAGTCTCCTAACAAGCTGGAGTTCTAAATATTCGGAATTCCACGGAATCTCTGTTGTTTTCCTCTGTTGCCTAGCAACACAAACCTGCTGTCCGTCTGAATGACCAGTGATGCTAAACGAGCCGCGTTCACTTTAACCCTGTGTGTTTCTGTTGTGGTTCTAGAGTGTGTCGGAGTGGATCCACCGCCAGACCCTTCAGCTCCACGGCAAAACCACTACAAGACCTTAAACCTCAATTTCCAAAAGTGAGACAGAAACATGAGAACATACTAAATGCTTCTATTGTTTATGTATGAAATCTAATAATCACAGACCAGCACAAACAGAACATTATTTACATTTTTATCAGTGGTTTTTAACGTCCCCGAAGGGAGGTTTAGCTCAACTTTGTGGACAGTAACTGTAGCTCAGTAAACACACACACACACTCAGATGTGTGTAAGAGCCGTTAGTCTTGTGAAACGGTTGCTCAAGTTCCTCTCTGAACACTCTTCTCTCCACACACAGGCTGATCAATGTGACCGTCCAGTTCCAGCTGAAGGCCATAAACATCCAGACCATTATTAATAACGAGATTCCCGACTGCTACACCTTCTCCATCACTGTACGCACAGATTACACTTTTACAGCAGCTAATAATGTCTCACGAAGATTTATATATTAAATTACATTGTCATTTAAAGGTTTGGAATCTTTGTTTTTCTAAAGAGATCTCTTATGTTCATTTATTTGATCAAAAATACAGTCAACATTCGATCGAAGATTTTACAATCTTACGCCAAACCTTTGAACATTAATGTATCATGCTTTCAACACTGATAATAATAATGTTTCTTGAGCAGAAAATCATCATACGAGAGTGATTTCTGAAGGATCATGTGACATTCTGTGTCATGATGTGAATGATGCTGAAAATTCAGCTTTGATCACAGGAATAAACTACATTTTAAAATATATTCACACAGAAAATAGTTATTTAATATATTAATAATAATATTTCAAATTTTTTACTGTATTTTTTATATCTTGGTGAACAGAAGAGACTTTTTTATAAAATATGAAAAAATACTCAAAATTTTAAAATTATTATTTAAAAATGTTATTATTATATAATATGTAAAACCTTTCTAAGCACATGATGCTTTGTGTGTGTGTGTGTGTGTGTGTGTTTCAGATCCTGTTTGATAACAAGGCTCACAGCGGTAAAGTGAAGCTCAGTTTGCTGAACGAGGCGTCCATTAAAGAGTGCCGAGACCCTAACGTGTCTGGACACGGTGAGCCGACACCAAGCGCTCTCAGTGTGTGTGTGTGTGTGTGTGTGTGTGTGTGTCCTGCTGCCGCTGAACCCGTGTGTCTCTGTGTCCAGCGGACAGTTACGCGCGCGTGGCGTTCGACGTGCTGGTGGCGGTGGTGTGCGGCCTGTCTCTGGTGTTGTGCGGCCGCTCCATCCTCAGAGGAATCATCCTGCAACACGTGAGTGGACAAATACCCCATCTTTCACTCACATCCGACACGGATCGGCATTTAATGCACACGTTGAAACACAAGAATTCACACGAGATCTGATTTTTCCGCATCCGTCAGATTCATGAGTCATGAGATCTTGTCCATGCTGGGAAATAATCATGACCACTTGACATGAATTATAAATAATTTTAGCAGGGTCATTTAAAACCAGGGTCTAGCATGTGCGCAGTAAAACAATCACAGAAATCATTTTTGGGTGGAAATTAATGTAAACACAGATCTATCAGATACTAGGGGTGGAACAATAAATCGTGGCACATTATTTCGCAATACAAAAATTCAACAATCGTGGATAGTGACAATATGTATTGTGTATAATTCACCCAAAATGAGTTTTAGTGTCAGTACTACAGTAAACTACTGTATATAATGTTGAATATAATGTATAATAATGCAACGGGGGAATATTTGTGTGTCCTGATAATGCCAAATGTCTGATGTTACCAGTAAAAAGTGGCCTATATTATTTGACATATCTAGTCAGTGAAAGAGTGCAAAATAAATAATTCAGTATTTTCAGCTTGAGAATCATGAATATTGTTATTCTGGCGTCTCTATTGTCCTGTGCTTTGGGTTTCCAGCACAAGCCTATTCATTTACACACACAATGTAACACCAAATTAAGCATTTTAATCAACAGCTCATTTTGGGTTAACCTTTATCATATGTCTTGGAATATCACAATAATATGGTATCGTGAGTGCAGTATCGTGATATGTATCGGATCGTGAGATGAGGGTATCGCTACACCCCTGTCAGATACCAGTCCTGTCTAAAGTGAGTGTAAACAGTCCGGCGATATGGTCAAAAGATCAGATCTGTGTATGAAGACTCGCTGTGTAAATGCAGTTAAAGTGTGTGTGATTTCCTAATGCGCGCTAACTGGCGGCTCCCCTGCGCCGGCAGGAGTTTGTGTGTTATTTCCGCCAGTCTCTGGGCCGTCCGGTGTGTTGGGCCGACCGGCTGGAGTTCATCAACGGCTGGTACCTCCTGCTCATCATCAGCGACGTGCTCACCATCATCGCCTCCTTCATCAAGATCGCCATCGAGACCAAGGTCGCACGCTTTCCCGAGAGGTACGGCAGTGTTCGAGAAGCGCTCTGGTCTGACTGGTGCTCGTGTTTGTGTCGCAGAACCTGTCGTCGTATGACGTCTGCAGTATTTTGATGGGAACCTCCACCCTGATGGTTTGGGTCGGGGTGTTGCGATACTTCAGCTTCTTCCAGAAATACAACGTGAGTTACACTGCATTCCTGGCGCATGTTCTACTGTCAAAGCAAAAATCATTCAGACACCAGATATCATTTGTGTATATTTTTACTAGTGTGTGCAGGACACTATAGTTCATTTATGTAAGTGAGGAGAGCAAAATAAAGTAAACTGTGACATATTATACCCAAAAAAATTTCATACAGTAAAATTTATAAAAATTTGGGACCAAAAAGTATTCAGACACTTTGACCTGACCATGTTTTGCTGAAGTGTTTTTTCTTTAATTGCTAATGCACCTTTTTACACACAGACTGAACAACATGAAGCATTGCTTGGTCACTGGCTGAGCTAAACTTTGACATTTTTTGACAGGCATTGTGAGCTTCACATTTCCTCTTTCTTTCTTATTTTCTTTCTATTTTTTAATAAATTGGACTCTTTAATTGGCCATAAAACGGTAAAACTAGTAAAAAATCCATTTATTTTTCTTTTGATTTTGTCTTGAAATACGACCCTGGAATTTTTTCCTTTGTGAGCTTTCTTTCCTTTTTTTTCTTTTCTGTTTTCTGTTAAATCTGACACTGCAAATATTAGTCAAAACCGTGAGACAGTGAATTGAACGAGTGAATCCTCTGCTCCGTGTTCAGATCCTGATCGTGACTCTGCGGGCCGCGTTCCCCAGCGTGATCCGGTTCTGCTGCTGCGCGGCTGCCATCTACATGGGCTACTGCTTCTGCGGGTGGATCGTCCTGGGACCCTACCACGCCAAAGTACGTCACACTTCAGTAACACTCTGCCCGGATGAAGAAAACAAAGATCACTGTTCGGATTTAAATAGGCAAATGCTTAAGAGTCTGTGATTGGATCATTATCGCAGTGATTATTATGTTTCTAGCATGTTATGTGTTTGACAACAGTTCTTCTAACCCTAATTGAAGGAGTGTGTAGCTTTTCATTTCTTACACAATCATGTAGGAAACACATCATGGTCAGATTCCAGGATGACAATGTCAAGATTCAACAGGCTCAAACTGTGAAGGAAAGGTTGTGAGGATCAGGAAGAATCATTATCACACATGCGGCCCTATTTAAAGATCTAAGCTCATGGTTTAAAGCGCACGCCACAAGTGCACTTATTAACATTTTTTTTGTCGTGAAAGCTTACTTTATTTCATTTTGATATTTTTTTTTCTATTTTTTAATGCAATTTTTGGGGATTTTTTGTGTTATTTTTTATTTTATTTACCTTTAAATTACTAGATTTGATCAATAAATAATCAATAAATAGTAATTTAAGCACAATCCTCACATTCTTTTAACTTAAATTCAAAATACCTCACAATTTCATGCATGACCCTTTTAATTCAGCTCAAAATATCTTACACTGGGGGTCTTTGTCTAACCTGGCCCTTGCCAGATGAATTTCGCTCCGCCTAGCTTCACTCACATCCATCTGGAACCGATCCATTGAAATGGCGTTTCAGAAGGCTGGGCCTTATCAAAAATCCTTGCATATGATTGGATAAGCCACTTGTCTGTCATCTTTATCGACGTGCTATTTCAACCACTCACACCGAAGCCAACCCGTGACGCTGAAGAATCCGGTCGGGAGAAGGCACTGATCTATATAACATCGTTTCCACCAACAAAAGCCTTAAGAGCCGTTCTCTGATGTTCTTTTAATGAAACAATATTAGGTAGATTGGACAACACGGATGAAATCAATGTTAACCACATCAATGTTAACGCTTGTTTCCTCGATGCGAGCCGCCATTGTTGTCTGAATCAAAACAGTCTCACGGTCGCTTCTCCACTACGTCACATCTATGAAACTCCCGCCCTGCGTCCTGATTGGCTAAACCATAAAGTTGGTTGGAGAAATCACTCTCAATGGAAGAGGTTCCAGATGCATGTGAGTGAAGCTAGGCGGAGCGAAATTCATCTGGCTAGGGCCAGGTTAGTCTTTGTCGACCTCTTGTGGAAAAATAATAATATAACATGATATTCCATGACTCTTGCCACTAGATGGCCTTATAGCTCTATATGAAGCAAATGAGCTGTTCCTCTCGGTCCTAAAGTCAGTTTCCCTTCAGTTTGCATTCAGATACACATGTGGACATTATAAAATATTTTTTTTGGTAAAGTTGTAGCATTTTTAGTTAGTATTTTGAGCATTTTTTGGGTTTTTCTATGTGTACTGAAGCATTCCTCGCATTACATTCATTCCTATGGGGGGCAAATTGAGCCGTGAGGGACGGAATAAGAAACAACGTGGCGCAGGACGAGAAAATAATAACCGCGTCGGACTGAAACTAGCAATGCGCCGGGTTTATGATACGGCCCTTGAAGTCCAGATCTTAAGTCCACTGAGAGTCTTTGGGCTGTGCTGGAGGAGACTTTACAGAGTGCTGGACTCTTGCATTCACAATACCACATCTTGAGCTAAAATTGATGGAAATAACATCACAACATTTATTGTTTATCAAGAGGAGCATACATTTTTGGTCAATATCTTGTATACAGCTTATTTGGTCGTAATGTTTTGGCTCACCGGTGTAAATCACCACACTAAAACATCCATCGTTTTCTGAATCCCGTTGATTGTCGTTAAGCATCCAAACATGTCCTCGTCTGTGTCTCTCCACCAGTTCCGCTCTCTCTCTACGGTGTCCGAGTGCCTGTTTTCCCTCATCAACGGAGACGACATGTTCGCCACGTTCTCGGACATGGAGCAGAGCGGGGCGCTGGTGTGGGTCTTCAGTCAGGTGTACCTCTACACCTTCATCTCGCTCTTCATCTACATGGTGCTGTCGCTCTTCATCGCGCTCATCACCGGAGCCTACGACACCATCACAGTGAGTCAACACAGACCACAGTAACACAATTACTGAAACGCAATCTGAAGAAAAATGACATATATTTACACAAAATAACAAAAACTTAAAGGGGTGATTGATTATGAGTTCACTTTTCTAACTTTAGTTAGTGTGTAATGTTGCTGTTTGAGCATAAACAACATCTGCAAAGTTACAACACTCAAAGTTCAAAGCAAAGGGAGATATTTGCTTTTACAGAAATTGTTTTTTGAGGACTGCAACAAACGGCGGGTAGGGACTTCTCCACGGGTTAGTGACATCACCAACCCTAAAATTAACATAAACCCCGCCCCCGGGAACGATTATCATGACAGAATATGCTAATCAATGACTAGAAGCTGCTGTGGAGTTAACTAACTACATAAATTCATCAACTAACCGTTCAGAAACGTCCTGTTGCTTCTACATGTTGTCACTTCTTCTTGAGTCTCTCCATCTTTGTCTGACTCCGGTTTGAACATAAAAGGCAGAACAGTTTCTGACATTTCAGTGTGTGTCTGTGTGAGGTAATCTGAGCTGCTAACACACATACACACACACACCAGCTGTTGTAGCTCCGCCCTCTGTGCCGGCTGCAACAGCTCATTTGCATTTAAAGGGACACACACAATAACGGCGCGTTTTTACTCGCCCTCAAAAAGTGACAATTTTAACATGATATAAATATATCTGTGGGGTATTTTGAGCTAAAACTTCACATACACACTCTGGGGACAACAGAGACTTATTTTACATCTTGTTAAAAGGGGCTTTATACCACCTTTAAATAAAATATCCCTTTTTTTGGAGTGACTTTGAGCTTTGTAAGCTTTCTGTGCTCGAACAGCAACATTTCACACTAACTACAGTTGAAGAAGTGGAAAAGCAGAATAGGACCCCTTTAAAGGGATACTCCACTTTTTTTTGGAAATAGGCTCATTTTACAACTCCCCCAAAGTTAAACTGTTGAGTAAAGAAACTTTACTGCCGTACCATGAGTGCAGCAGGCGTAATGATATGACGCAGCGCCTGAAAATAGTCCCCAGCTCGGTAACTTCCAACGTGACCGGGACTAAGTGCCTGCGCCTGCTGCACTCATGGTACGGCAGTGACGTTTCTTGATTATTACGCAGGAATGAGAGTATAGTTCCTAGCCATATCAGCCTAGAAAATCGCAACTTTACATTTTCCGTCGGTCTTAGTGCACGATGTAACTACAGAAGAGTCAAGTTTTAAATAGGAAAAATATCGAAACTCTTTGGTCATTTTTTTTTTGAGAAATGGTCTTGTCCACTTCAATGATGTATGCTAAGCTATGCTAAAAGTGGTACCGCCAGAACCGGACATCGGCTGAATGGATTCAAAAACGGTAAAACTCATCAGTTTAACTCTGGGGAAGTTGTAAAATGAGCCTATTTCCAAAAAAGTGGAGTATCCCTTTAAAAGCGCCTGTCTGAAATGTGTAAAATCGGCTGTGTGTGTGTGTTCCAGCAACAAACGCAGGAGGTGCCGCAAGGGTCTGAACTGCACCGGTTCATCGCCGAATGCACCGACACGCCGACCTCCGGAAACTTCCACTGTCCCGAGCCGTCGACCTGCTCACTCTTCTGCTGCTTCAGCTAGAGTGTGTGTGTGTGTGTGTGAGTGTGTTTCTGGGTAATGCTTCATTCATCTCACACACGCACGGGATGGACACGCACTCCTATGTTTGTTCGTTCAGAGATAAACTTGTTTTAATTCTGTAATTTTATATGTAAATCCGTTATGATGAACGAGCAGAGACTGTGTTTGCATATTCATGAGCATCTCGTGGCCAGAACAGGTGAAGTGATCCGAGGAGGGACAGCACTCACACACACACCAACACTGAGGCACACAGAGGACCTTCAGGTGTTTCGCAGCCACAACAAACATGTCCAGGTCAGATTTCAGAAAGAAAGATCGAAAGAAAAAATTATTTTGGGATAAAAAAAAAAAAAAGTAAGCCGTTTTTAGGACCATTATGATGTTTTGCTTTGTGAGATTATTTTCATGACTTTTAAAATAAAAGTATTTTTTATTACTTTTTATGCATAAATTTAAGATTTTAAGATTCAAATGGAAAGTACAACAAATGCGTGACACAAATAGTATTGAGATATTTTGTCATGAAAATAATGTCATAATGCAAAAGCATAGACGTGTTTTCTGACACGCAAAGACATAGTTCTTGTTTCTCCTTGATTTCCGGTTGAAATACACGCTTTCTTGCACACAGAAGAACAACTGTATATTTCAGGTGTTTCGGTGAATCTCGTGATCAAATGTCCAGGTCACATTTCACCCTAAAAAAAAAATTAAGGAGTTATATTATGCTTTAAAAAAATAGGCCTTTTTTGGGACCATTATGATTTTTATTTATTTAATTAATTTAATTTAACTTAATTGATGGAATTACTTTTTTCTATTTTAAATCTTTTAATCTGCATAAATATATATTCAAATACAAAATGCATACAAATAATTTGAGAGAAAATTAAACACATTTTTTATGTATATGTCACAATGCAACAAATATTAATCGCCTTTGATTTCTTATATGCAAAACTATGTTTATTTTAAATAAGCATCAATTTAATAATACAATACCATGATATTCTGCTTAAAAAAATAAAATAAAGTTAGTAATTTATTTGAACAGGGTCAATCTAATTTAAAATGGTTGATTATTCGTGTAATGAAAGTCATTTTTAGGTTGAAATACGCCCTGCACATTTCCGTCAGATTCACCTGATCTTTTTTACTCCGTCCATATGCTTTCATATTGCCCACATCTGATTTTATGCTTTTTGTAAGTCATTTTCAGAAAATACATTTTTAAATGTGTTTTGTGGATATATAGATATTATAATGCTTATGTTTCATAAGCACAGTAGGATATTTGTGATTTATTGGCATCATATGGATGATGCTCTTCAGTGCTTTGTTTCAGATTTCTCTAGTGTGTGTGTGTGTGTGTGTGTGTGTGTGTGTGAATGTGGTTTACAGGAAGCATAGCTTACAGGTTTGTCATGAATATTAATGTGGTTGGTGTATTGTATCTGTCTCCAGTGCATTTCCTCCTTCAGCGCGTCACACACACACACACACACACACACACACACACACACACACACACACACACACACACACACACACACACACACACACACACACACACACACGGGTGTTTGGAGAAGCCCTGGGCATCTAGAGGTTTTTCCCTGTGTTCTTGACACACACGGGTCAGTCCATCAGGGAATCACTGGAGCGGTGAAGCTTCGAGTGTGTTTGTGCTCAGTAGCGGCATGATAATATTGGCTCGAAATGACTTGTGTGTGTTTATAATGCTTAATTAGATTCATAACTAGTAATGGAGAAAGCATAAGCAGTGTTCGTGATTGAGGGACCAGGACACTACAGGACAGAAAGGGAACAAAAACTCATGATTATGATCATTGTAGGTTATTTATGAGCTCTCAGTATAGCATATTTATGATATTAGTCATGCACTTTTCTACGCTAATAATCATCTTCAGCTTTTGGCAGTTTAATATCCGATCCGTTCAGATTTATTAGACGCTGGTTTTGCCTTGATGTTATTGTTTCTGTTCAGAATGAATCGTTGGTGTAGTTTTATGATTATTGTGACATGTTTACTGCTGTTTTAATGAGATCTAGATTATTTAAAATGCTGTATTTTGTTTTAATTTTTTACATTTATTGTATGTGACTGTAAGCTGAGATGCTTTTGGGCACATCTTTTATTTAAAGCCTCAGATAGTGACACTCATTTTTAACAAAGGGAATATTTGTGTTGCTTTGTTTTTTTACAATGCAGTTTTGCACATACTTTTTGTTTGTAATTTATTTGGAGAGATTGAATAATTTATGGTTGATTCATACGCACAGATTTGAAGTCTCTCTCTGTTTTCAGACACATTGTAACACTTAACAACACATCTGTGAATGTCAACATCAAACATCTGCAGGTTTATGGATTAAATCTCTGAAGCTCCTTCTGTTCGTGTCACTGTGTGTTTCGCTCATCGGTTATACTTAGACTTTCTTAAAATACATATTTCGATCCAGTTAAACACCCTGACATGCATCAGTGATCATAATTGAGGAGATAATATAAGCCAATTAGACATTTTATTGTTGTTTTCGTTGTTGTTTATTGTTAATATTATTTTCAGTTTCTATGACCTCATTAATAGATAATTATTTCGTTTTTTTCAACAACAAAAAAAAATCTAATGAATGAAACTGTTCATAGTGAATGTGTCTGGGTTTTTTGTTTTTCATATGGACTATTTTCTGGTGCTTTTAGGGTGTTTTTGTCTTTTTGAAGTTTGACAGATCAATATTTTTCAATATTTCCCCTTTGGTGTTTCATCTGAAAAAGAAGACGGGTGAGCATATTATTTCATATTTTTTCACACACACACATATACAGTATATATATATATATACACACATATATATATATATATATATAAATAATATAAAATATTAATTAATGAATTAAAAGATATTAAATTCATTTTGTCATTACAGAAGATTCAAGACATTTCTTGACTCATGTCAAGACTTATAACAATAGTTTTTAGTATAATATAATTTAAATAATTTTAGTCATAGTAGTGGTAGTAATAGTCATTCTGTATGCTATATTAATAATAATTCTGCGGCCCAAAGGTTACTTTTTTATTTAAATATATATAATTTCATAATTTTAGTAATAATATTCGGTAGTCTGGACTTGTATGGACTTGGCGTTTTAACATTCAGCTTTTCATATTTTCATTTTCAAAAAAAATCTACAATTATAAAACTAAACTTTGTATTATAATACCTTTTCTTAAAATCACACAATACTAGTTTACGATTTTGTCTTCTGAGATTCTGATTTCTTTTTTTCTGTTGAAGACAAAAGAAGATATTTTGAAGAATGTCAGTAACCAAACATAGTATTATTATTATTATACTGTTAGTCAATCAACTGTTTAATAACCAACATTCTTCAAAATATCCTCTTTTGTGTTCAGCGGAAGAAAGAAACCGGTTTGGAACAACAGTAAATGATGACAGTATTTTCATTTTTAGGTGCACTGTCCCTTTAAGAGCAGGTGTGTGGTGTTGATGAAGTGTGTGTCCAGCAGGTGGAGCAGTGAACATCACACACACCAGCGCTTCAGTTCATTTACTAACCGTCAGGAGAAAGAAATAAGGAAAGAAAGGAGACTACAGAGGGAGGAGTGGCTGTGAATGTAGAGCCAGACGACTGAAGAAAACAGACACAATAAAAATGACATTGATAAATGAAAGCTGGCGAACCTCTAGAATGCCTCTACGCTTCAGTCACAGAACACAGATCCACGTTTCACACAGAGACCCGAGTGTTTTCACAAGGCAAAGCCAGTCATGAAGACGTCAGTTGGTGTAGCTCCTCTCAGTTTGAGAAGATAAGCACACACAGAGGCTCATATCCTGGGAGAAATGACCTTTTAGACGCAGTAGACGCGTGATTTGATCAGACGTGCATGTGCTCTGGTTCTCTTAACACTGACATGCATTATTGAGTGCAGGAAGAGGCACAATCGACCCTCGGATGGAGTGAGTCGAGTCCCAGGAGAGAAGAGCCTCGCTCTTCAGTGTCCTGCAGTAAATGAGGCCTGTTACCTGTCAGTCGCACACCTGACGCATGAATATTTCATGCGCACGCTGTTTGTTCCAGCGCTTTACTGTGCTGGCGATGCTGGAGAGGGTTTAAACGCAGGAGACGGACCTTGACTGGAACCTCTTCAAGTCTTTTGGGCTTTTCTCACTGTCCTTGGGCCTAAAAGCAGAGCAAAAGGTCATGCATTGCTAAAGATGTGAAGAAGAAGAGCTTCCACACATTAGGCTAATGCAGAGAGGATGCAGACTGCTAATGCAATTTAATAGTGTGTGTGTGTGTGTGAATCCGCTGACCGAAATTTAAAATGTGCAACACACGCCATTCTAGTCCACGTAAGAATAATATCCATTCAGTTTTTACCATTTTATTGCTAGTCACACTATTCATTCCTATGGGACATTCAGTAATTTACTAAGTATGATTTATGAGGTGAAGAATTACTAGTTTGGGATTTTTTTTCTCTATCTATAAATCAAAATTTGTAGGAATATCCAGGTTTTAACAATTTTATTCAGAAAATTTTAAATGCAAAGAGATTATATAATTGTTTATATATATATATATATATATATTATTGTATATGCTTATTGGATAAATAATAATAATATATTTGATAATAATATTTTTTGTTACTTTGCCATTAAAATAGCCTTTGCTGCCAAAATGCAATAAATAAATACATAAACACGACAATGTATGTACTGTAAATACACAAGGAAACCATTAAGTTCTGTAAGCTCTGCTGGTTCCTGTTGCTCACTCAGAAACAAAAGGCTTGAGAAGGCAAAAGTAACCAAGAGAGTTTAGTCAAAGGTCATACAGTCACCCTGTGTATTTAAGATCCAGTTACATAAACTTTCTCATGAATTACATTCATTAGGCTATATCTAATGGCTAATATACCGAGACCTCCTAATGTAATTAAAGCAGCGGTATAATGTTATTTACTCATCATATTTCCTTTCTCGTAATGTTGTCGGGGGGTGTCGCGCGCACGATGCGTGCTCGAGCGTGTGCTTCATTAGCGTTCAGAAGCTGAATGTTAATCAGGTGCAGTGCCGGCATGTTCGTGTCTCCAGGGTAACCGTGCTGCAGCTTGTGTGTGCAAACCGTGTGTGTGTGTGTGTGAACGCACCATTTGCATGCGCTGCCTTATCCATCCGTGCAGAATGCCGACACAC